ATTAGACATAAAACGTACAGCCAATTACAACCAGCATGCATCTGCTCTTATATTACTGTCATTAGCTCACAGCTTGAAGTGTTTAAGGTGCTAACTAACAATAAAGAGCAGATGACAGTTTATTAAACTTTTAATGAAATGTCCAGATTGTCTCGGTGGAGTTTAATGAATCGTCCGTCTGCTCCTTGCTGTCTAAAATATATCAGGACACTGGTGTAAACTCTCGACGATCTCACACTTCTGTTTTATCAGTTTTCTGTTTGACGTTTATTCAGCTGTGTGAAAACGAAGGAGGAACCCACCCAGGGGATTAATAGAGTTTTATTTTATCTAATCTAATCTAATGACTTCAGCCAAAGCGATTTACTTGTTTGCTTTGCTCTTTAGGACCGGTTCAGCGAGGTGTTGTTTCATGTCTCCAGTATCACCAACGTGAAGAAACTGGACAAAGGCAGATTCTCTGTTTACTTCAGGAAGAAGCATTATGACTTCATGGCTCATAGTGAAGGTAAGAACAGTGACTCTTCTGGTTTCTACTGGATTCTACTGACCCAACACAGGAAGACGACTGGGGACAGCTCCTACCAGATTGGTCAAACCTGCCTTTGTTTTAAAGCGTGAGCGATTTTAGCACGATTATAAAAGAGACCCGCGGTCTCGGCTTCCCTGTTTCACGCCTCTCATATTTTTTCTGCTTGCTTCTGTTTGTCTATCAGAGGTTCAGGACGGTTGGGTCACTTCTCTTCTCGCGACTCGAGGCAATCCAAGCCCCACCCCCCCAGAACTCCATGGACAAATCACCCTTAAGGACCCGCGGGGTCGTGCTTATGCTGCCCTCTGGGGTCATGACCTTTGGATTTACCCTAACAAGGAGGGCTTCCAGCTGGGTGTGGCCTCGTATACCGTCCCCCTGAATGTGGCCTCGGTCAAATCGACGGGGAAACACTCGTTTAGCCTCATCACTCCATACAAGACCTTCAAGTAAACCCCCGTCTGTGTGTCTGCCTGTCGGTCCATACCTGTATGGTGTTTATTTGTTTGCTAAAATTATATCCTTCTCTCTTTAACCCCGCCCCCTACCTACAGCCTGTCTGTTGATTCGTCCAAGGATCTGTCCCTCTGGGTGGACAGGCTGTCTTCAAGTATCCAGAGCGCTCTGTCCTGCTGTCACGTGGCGCTGCGTCTCTGGGAACACCCGTACAACAAGGTGTGCGGGGACTGTGGTGCGGCCAATCCGGAGTGGGCCTCGGTCAATCTGCTGCTGGTCATATGTCAGCACTGTGCAGGTATGACAGCACACCTGGTACACGTTAAGATTATTAATGCAGAGGGTTGTGTAACAGCAGAATGAGACGCATCGATGTGAACCTTTTCAGGATTCAAACGATCGTTGGTCACGGACGTAAAGAAGCGACATTACCCAGGACTTATGTCAGAACACAAGTATGAAAAAGGCAGAAAATAAAAATATTGAGGAAAATATGTAACACAAAATCGATTTTAATCTACCAAAACAAAGGCACAGATTCATGTCCAAGAGACCGGACGTCCCTGTGCTGTTTTTAAAAGATCAGAGACTCAGAGCTGTCCTCTTAAGAATCTGGATGCTGTGAATGAGCAAATATAACCAGGTGCAGAAGATCCTCCAAAGTGCCATTAAAGGCCCAGAAGAGAAACCAACAAACACTGTTGTAAGATCTCGGTGATATCACAGGAGTAGCATACGTCCAAACCAACAGAGCAGAAAGCTCTGAGATAAAGAAAGAAGGTAAAGAAACGAAACCAAATGTGAGCCTGACTCACTGACTGTTAGCTGGAACAGTTTATATGATGCTGATTAAATGAAACGATACCAGCGTTCCAGTTTCACCACTGCCAATAAAACGTGTGCAGTCTGAGGGAAACACACCTGTCAATAAAACTCACCTGCTGATAACACACACCTGTAGACTGTTGATACACTGTGATCACTGCGAAAACACAACCTTCACACATTTTCTTTTTAACTGTGTTAAATAGAAAAAATATTTGAGGACTAAAGCACTGGGCAGCAACCCTATTCTCACTTTTTCATTCTTATTCACAGTCTTGTAAATACTATATTCATTCATTTATTTATTTATTTCATTTTTTCTTTGTTTAAAATTTATTGTACATACTTATCCTCTTAAAATTGCCCTTTTTCACTTGTAGTGAATTGATTTGTATACAGTTTTTGTTGTTCGAAAGCACAATGACAACAAAGATTCTGGGATTCTGTAAAACCCACTGAACGCAAAATGCTAACATGTTCTCAGGTCACCATCGAGGCCTGGGCAGCAACCTGTCGAAGGTGCGCAGTCTAAGGATGGACAATAAAATCTGGACTGA